AGTAATCAAACCCAAAAGTTGCTGTAGGTCTTCCCCAGAGGCCCATATAGTAGTATCATCAGCGAATAGTACAAAGTTCAGTAATTCAGAAACATTGCATATATCGTTAATATACAGTATGAAAAGTTTAGGACCCAAAACTGACTCCTGTGGGACTTCACATACTATATCCAGAAAATCTGATTGGTGCACGCCCAGACTTACAAATTGCCGTCTGTTGGTCAAATAACTTTTTATCCATTTCAACACCAAACCTCTAATACCATACCTTTCTAATTTGTCAAGTAAAATTTCAAAATTAATAGTATCAAAAGCCTTTTGGAAATCAATAAAAATCCCCAATGTTTGTTTCATGTTGTCCCAGGCACTAGTAACACCTTCTACAAATTCAGTTATTGCAAGTCTAAGTAGCACTGTTATACAACCAGAGACAGACATTCCAGTGCCAGCTGCACATTCCAGCTCTGATTACAAAGTGCAGTTCATACACACACAGCTGTCTTCCCCACAATTTCCACGTAGAGAGCGGAAGCCGATATTAAAGAACAGCTTATCTAGACAGATGCCACAAAGTGCAACACAGGGCATAGCACCCCTGGTGGTTGTACAGGGAGGAATTTTGCACACAGCATCAGTTCCAGGAGGTAAAACTGACAGACTTAGAGCACAGACTTATCTAAATGAGTTAAAATCTGGCTGTTTAGACCAGTTCACAACTCCAGTTGTTGGTTCATGTACTTCTGCATCTTTCAGAGAGGAGGAAGAAAGGCACCTTTGTGATGTTTCAGTGCCGGCAAAGTCTCATGGTTCTGAATATGCTGGTGATTCCAGCTGGGATGGCACAGTGCATGATTTCTCATCACAACGTATGCAGAGAGGGCGAGGGAACATCCATGACTGTTTGGACATTCCCTCACACCAGCTGCCATTGCCTCACCTTATGGAGAGATAACACAAACCTACACTCCCTTTAGCCTTAAAGATATGGCCATGGTTATATCCCAGCTACCTGACATTGAAAAGGGGGGTGCACTGTGGATTAGGGCTTTTTTAGGTGCTTGTGCAGGATTTGTGCTTGCACTTGGAGATTTACGACATGTTTTTACGGCCTGTACTTCTCTGAGCATGTTACGGGAGGTAGAATTAATGGCAAATACTACTGGGGATCATGATAATGTTGCACTCCATACTGAAATTCATTGGCTTTGGCCGGTGATACACCAAAAATTCCCAATACAGGTGTGCTCTGTTGAGCTGTGTAGAATTCCACCTCATGAGGGTGAGCGAGGTAGTCAATTTTTTGGTCAGAGTGTGTGAACTCTGGCAGAATTACAGTGGTGAGGACCTGGCTGTCAGTGACACCGTGGGGGTGCTATTTCGCAGTGCTGTGGAGGCTTCCCTCCCAGCATCTATACAGCATCTTTTGAAACAAGTGATGGGACTCAACACATTTAGCTTTGAGCAGTGGTCAGCTTATGTCACTCAGTATATTGACAATGAGCTGGACGTACAAGAAAAGAATGCAAAGGAACTTTCTTCTTTGCAGGCACAGTTAGCTAAAGCGCAGTTGAAAGAAATGCAAGACAAGGTTCATCAAACTAAAATCACAGCTAACCAAATGCCTGTGCAGAATGCTCTACAGCCATATGCACAGCAGCAATCCTTTGCTCAACAGCTGACTGCACCACCTTACCTTTGGAATTCTGCTCCCATGTACTGTGGACCTCAGTACTGTGGCAGGTCATGGGGAAGAGATCAAGGATCTCGGGCTCTCAGAAGAGCTCCGCCAAGAGATGGCAGGTGCTGGATTTGTAACAAAAGAGGACATTGGTTGCGTGAATGTCCCTTTTCATATCAGCAGTCGCAGGGTGCACTGGGATACCAGTATCAAGTCTACCCACCTCCACAGGATGGATATGTTCAGTGGTTCCCACCACCAGCCCAACATCAAGCACCTGGCTCACACCAGTTGCCTCAACATTAGGGCTTCCCAGAACCGGTAACAGAGGACGCACTGTGTTCCTAGGAAATGTTTCTTGAACCACTAGTTAAGGTAACCATCAATGGTTAAGATCATATGTGTATGGTTGACACAGGAGCCTGGTATTCCACACTTAGCATGCCACTCCCCGTTTCAAGGCATACCATACCTGTTGTTGGCTTCTCGGGACACACAGAGGAGTGGCCGCTTTCCGAAAAAGTTCCTTGTAGATGGAACAATCTGTCATTTTATCATTCTTTTTTGCTTTCCCCCTCCTGCCCTTTAATCTTTTGGCTCATGACATAATGTGTTCACTAAATCTGACAATGATGATGTCTCTGTGCCATGTTGACATCACTTTTCCTGATGGCTCTGTTCAACACTGTGCAACTCCAAAAGCAACATTCAGACAAATGTTATATACCACACCCTCAGGCATGGACCTGTCTGTTGATTCTTCAGCTGAGGTGTGGTGGGGACTTGTAACTGCACCTGAAAAAACAGATTTGTGGAATACCTTCAAGCTGTGGGTTCCCTGGATTTCCATCCTTCCTAAATACACAGAACCTACTGAACACATGCATTGCACCTTTAACTATTTTCTATACGGGGTTGAGGACTATGATGATTTGTGGGATGGCTTTCTTCAGGGAATAGAGACATCCCAGAGAACAACCACAGTTGACATTCAACAATTGTACATTGGGCTTCAGGGAGTGGCAGCTTTGGCTGCACTGCCCATTGAGATTCAGGACTTGTATGCCCTGTCTGAAAATTCAGCTCCTCATATCACTTTGTTAGTGGGTGAGGGAAGTGAAGCTAAGAATCTTGGTCCAATGGTACATAGTTGTACAAAAGCTACTGATTGGATGCCCACACAGAGTAAGCATCTTCAGTATTCACCTTCAACTCAGTGTTATGCTATTAATCATTCCTCACAGTTGTCATTGGCACTGGAAAAGTGTTTTCTTCCCAGGAGACATGGCAGAGAGAACATAGATCACCTGCTTACTCAGACATTGTTAGATAGTCTGCCCACTTCTCTCTGGTCCTCTGGACTTATAGATGTGAGACTTCTCCATGTGGAGCCTATCATCATACCTCTACGTGCTGGGGCGGTACCAGTGTACAGAGCTCAGTATCCACTGAAGCCTGAGCAAATCAGTGGCATCCAAAACACAATTAAAGGGCTTTTGCACAATTAAAGCGCTTTTGCAAGCGGGAGTTTTAATTCCTACTTCTTCTCCTTGGAACACACCTATAATGCCTAAAGCTGGGAAACCTGACTACAGGATAGTTCATAACCTTCGATCTGTAAACAAACTTGTGGTCCCTACAAATTATGCCACTCCAAATCCTTATACCATGCTCAATGCTCATTTGGATGTTGATGAAAAGGACGGCACTGTGAATGCCATCCTATTTCAAAAGAGGGAGGAAAGTAGAGGACACAACCAAAAGGTGTTGATGTACTACAGTTCTAAGTTGGGCAAATGTTGAAAAAGGACATCCAACTTGTGTGAGACATGTCGCTGCAATCGGTCGAGTGATACTGAAAACCTCACATATCACAATGGGTTATCAAACTGTTGTACACACTACACATGCTGTTAGGGCATTTCTGGATTCCAAAGCTTTTATATAGACTGGCAACAAGGCCCCACCCCAGAGTCCATTTGTGTCTGAATAATGACAGTAAGGGCACACACACTTGAGGATGTGTGTTCATGTTCACTTTACACAGTGTAAAGCAGGCAATAGTGCAAGTGGTGCAGTGAGCTAATGAGCAAATGGTAGCAGATCCATCATTAAGATGCATAAAGAATTTTTGGCATCCTTTTATTTGAGGCACTTCGTTAAGGCAGAGTCAACATGCATTAGTCATGGCAGGCGCCCTTATTCCATGGATAATCTAGGGCTGAAGCAGAGACTGCATCAACCCCACTGACTGACTAACATACCACATGCTGTTGTTGTGGTGCCAAAAGTGAGAAAGTCAGGGGAGGTGAGTGTTCCCTTGTAAAAAATCTCAAGCGTTTCAGAGTAGCTCAACCCCCACAACCTTAAAAGTAAAGAATTATCTTGGCGAAACAAGATGAGATGATGGTAGCAATATTTTGGCTACTTTAAGCCTGACACAAAACAGATTTGAGAACGACTGTCACAACTAAGATATATAGACAGTGCTGTCCACGAATTTGCTAAGTTTATTGAAAGCGCTCAATGATGAATAGAAAGCTAGTCAGAGTCATGTTTTTGGTAAGTTATTTTAAATAACAGCTTTTGTTCTAAGCTACTTGTGTTAGCAGCATTTATCCTAAGCTAAACTAAGCTATTTTCAGTTATAGCTGATTTTTTTGTTGAAGCCAAAGAAAATTTGGTCTCATTGGTGGTGGTTTCACCCAGTTTCCCAGGTGAGATGTCTAGAGAACTGCATTAACTACTTGATCAGCCAGCAGTATTAGTATTCTCAACTCTTACCTTTCTTGGCTGCCTGATCCTGACAGTTTTCATAGGTACAGGGTCCCCAGGCACTCCACGATGACACCTCACACTCTACAGGACAGCCAAAATGGCAGAGCTGGGTGGTGTTTGGGGGGATGCCCAGACACAGATCACTGTTCACTGGTCGCAATACTATGGAGACAGAGACAGGATTAGTGGCACACTGTAGGAATGATGATGCTAAGAACTGTGGTTTTCATGGCAGCAAAATATAATCAAATACAGTGACAGAGCAGAAAAACTGTGGACATTAATCATGTTGAAAACCACAATTTGTGTCCACAGCATGTACCATAGATCTTATTTATTATTGTCCAAATACTGCTTGATGAAGCGACCATGCTCTGAAACTGAAGCTAGACTGTTAAGACAGTGCTCTGCACCACCCTCTAAGAAAATATGAAATTCTAACTTATACATGAGGAACTTATTTTTATTTTCACAGCTGTGCTTGTGTGAAATCTGTAATTAAACAAGAACAGACAAGACAAGAAACAAAAGTGAAAAAGAGAGGAAAAAAAGACAAGTCAGTTGTTTAATCTCCTAGTAACCCTCCCTTCAGAGTCCTACCTTCCCCCAGAAACAAAGCCTTTCAGATAAATCAAGGCCAGAATTTGCAAACATACTGCTCTTTCATTCAAAGCACCCCCAAATCTTCAAGTAAATGGACAACTTTGAAACAATGGAGCTTTCGTTCTTTTCCTGGTACAGCAGTCTTGTCCATTTGGCCTGACTCTCAGTGGACCTCAGCTCCAAACAGTTGCAAGGTCATCAGGCTGAAGGATCATTCTCACTTTGCTTCATTCACATGCAAATTGCCTTAGCTTGGATAATGGGTGCATCCTTTAATAGTGTGCATACATCATGTTGCATACAAAATGTTATATGTGAGTTGCTATATCAAATAATGTTGATTCATTAACTGATGTATAGTATAAAAAGCACTGACTATTGTATTTACATCACACTGGCAATAAAGGTCACAGGACTGTGAAAATCAAAATGTACAAAACTCTCAGAAAATGAAATTTTAAAAACCATTTACCACTGGCTGCAGAGTTGTGAGGTCATATGTTGCCAGTCTGAACATTCAAAGACAACATTAGTATTTTCTCTGCTCTCTGTAACTGTGCTCTGTATTTCATGAATCATTTATGTCAACCCCACTGTGGCTGGCACAGCTGTGTGAAACTTGTAATGTATGGCTAAGAGAAGTGGTTAATCACTGCAGTGCTCTGAATATTCCACTCCACCCTTCTCTTCAGTGAACTTAGTCTTTCTTTCATATTAACAGCGTGTTTGGGTATATGGTGTAATTGACCATGCATACCTAGCCCTTTGCAGTGGTCTTTGTGTATAGCTGTTAATGAATTTTAATAATGCACAGACCTTCACTAATGCACTAATATCAGTTATGTTTTGTCTAAGGTTGTTTTCACACTTGGTCCCTTTCAGCCCTTAAAATGACTCGGAGTGACTAGCTAGCTTTTTTTTGCATAAATGTGAACACTCCAAAAGAAGAGAGGTGGTCTCAGTTTGGTTTGTTTCAAGTATGAAAATGCTTGGTCCCTTATAAATGAACTGAACTCAGTCCTCTTTAAAGTAGACCAAAAACGGGACCAATAAAAAAGTGACTCAGATCTAATGGTGTTCACACTGTGAGTACATTGGAAAGAGGAGTCAGTTCTCTTTCTGGTCCACTTCAGCTCTGATGGGCCCCAGTCCTCTTTCTGTTCATACTACGGTGGCTCTGGAGCTGTCAGGCCTTTACTGCTTTCACATGCGGCTTTTATGCCAAAGGATTCTCTACTATGTCTATTTTTATTGCATGTGGTAAAGTACTTTTAATGTAGTTTTTTTTTTCACTTTGATGCGCCACTGCACTGGGGTCCTAATGAAGCCCCTCACTCTCATAGGAGCTGAAAACTGAAGGAAACCCTGAGCGTGTCCGTGCATTCTAGACAGCTGTAGTTTGATGTGTTCTTTGTTCTGTTATGGAGAAGTGCAGTAGTTTATTTTGCGCACCAAACTACTCATCCATATGGGTATCATTAAGATTTTTAACAGTACTACTACCAATACTGCTTATTAATCTGGTCCTTTACTCCTATCAGTTGTTTTTATAAATTTTTAAGTAAAAAAAAGAAGGTAAGCATTATTATTGCTTTATTTCTTATTTTTTCATATCTTCCGTTAACATTCTTGAGTAGCAAATTGCAAGTGTGTTTTGAACAACCCACTAAACTATAATGTGATTACTGAAAAAACTGAATACAAGACTTTTTCTTTGACAGTACTTTTACTGAAAGGTGCGTCAAGCCCCTAAATCATTATATCCGCCCCTGCTCTGAATGCTCTCAAGCAAAACTGAACTTCTGAACGATAGTTCACATGAGGCTTTGACTGCTGCAGAATGAATTTATGAATGAACCCACAACATTCAGCTGGCTAATGGTTATTTTGATTCATTAACCCATATTCGTATAATTTTGTTAACTCCATTCACGGGCTTATGGCTGCTTAAATAAATATCATACCTGGGCAAGAAGAGAAACTATGAGCTAGTCAGTGGAAAACTGCACTTCTCTGTGATGGACCTTCGCTAGATATTTCAAAAGATTGCTGGTGTTTCTGCCCTTACATGCAAGAGACTAGAAGTGAACCTGGAGCACTTCATGTTCACAATGCAAATTAAGCAAACCACTTGAGCCAAACCGAACTGAGACCCCGGCAGGAGGTGATTTCAGTTCAGTTCATCTCAGAGGAGTCTGAGTTGATTTTGAGCATTCACATTTACACAGAAAATGCTGATTACTTACTCTGAGTTCATTTTGAGGGCTGAAAGATACCAAGTGTGAAAACACCCTAAGACATATGATGTGGTGTACCATGTGATTAGTGGAATATCATTCCTAGGGGTGGGAATAAACTCACAGTTTAATTTGTTTCTGATTCTTGGTGTCACATTTCAATTGATGATGGACATCAGGACCAAATACTTTACATACTGCTACCCAGCAGAAAATCATTTTGACAGAACACACTAGTGATTCCCACCAGACTGTCAGCACTGGCTGTAAAAACACCAGAACATCCTAAAACATTATACAGAAGATTAGCAAACATGACACTACAATAACAAGTGCTGAATTAAGAGCATCCAAGAGCACAAACTTTAATTCCAACATGCCCATGTATAGTCACACTAACTGAACAGTCAGACATCCCATTTTTTCTAAAAAAGCTTCTGATCCACATCACCCATTAACATCATTTGGAGGACAGTGTTCTCTTTGTTCTCCTCCCTCTTTGTCCAAACTGAGCATTGCTCCACCACCATAACAAAGGCTGATTAATGGAAATACCCACATAGTGTGACCTTGCTCAGGTAGCTGCCAGATGGTCTAGTCTTCCCTGAGCTGCACTTACAGCTGCCAAATTAGAAACTTCAGAGGCTGCCGCCTTGTGCTACAGTGTGCTATCAATAACCTGATTCCAAGTTCCTTTCCAGGTGGGGATTCAAGGCATCACAGTGTCACAGCTGTAAAACAGCTTGTCATTATTTGCTTCCCAAAAGGGTTTCCCATCGATTGGAACCAGTACAGGAAAAAACAGCTAATACAACTGCTTCTCCCATTCTCAGTAACAGTTTTACATAGACCATGGCTATGAAATATGTGCCATCAGGAACAAGAAAAAGATGATTATGATAATCAAAAAATATGTGCCATGCGAGCAGTAATCTTTGCATTAGTGTGACAGAATTTTGCAACTGAGAAAGTATTTCATTTTTCAACCGTGAATAAATAAAATAAAGAACAAGCAGGGATGTGGGATGGTAGTAGCTCCCACAATTCAGAATGAGAATGATATATATTCAGAAATATTACTGTGTGCTATCACAGTCGTGCTGGGATTTGCTGACCATCAAAAGTAGATGATAAGATTATATCAGCTTAATTGGGCTATGGGTTCCCGCCACACAGATGCTTGTCTCATCACAATGAAATCACCCACTGCATGCAGACATATTAACTGAGAAGTGATACAGTTGCTGTTGTCTTGATAAAAGCAGTCACCATTGATCTATTAAGGTTCCATTAAACATTTTTGCTAAAAATGAAATTGGCTGGGAGCATGTTTGATTGATTGCCAGGTGTCTGAGCTTGTCAGCCTCAAGATTTGGAGTTCCTTGTGTTACTTAGGTACTGAAAATGATGGCTCTGAGTAGAAAACACATACTGGTGATGATGATGATGATGATGTGTAATCTCAGTGTTGGAAAATATTCTGTACAAGTGGGAATAATAATAATAATAATAATAAGGCAGCACAGTGGTTAGCGGTGTTGTCTCACAGCAAGAAGGTTCCGAGTTCAAGCCCAGCTGACTGCATGTTTTCCTTGTGCCTGCCCAGGTTCTCTTCGGGTGCTCTGGCTTCCTCCCACAGTCCAAAGACATCCAGTTTAGGTTGACTGGAGACTCTAAATTGCCCATAGGAGTGAGTGAGTGACTGTGTGTGTGTGTGTGTGTGTGACTGGCAACCTGTTCATGGTGGACCCCGGCTCTTGCCCAATGTCAGCTGGGATTGGCTGGAATGGATAATAATAATAATAATAATAATGTGGATGTGCAGCCACTATCACCTATCTAATCCTGACAATATAGCCTACTGTGTATAAAGAGGAACTTTGGAAAGCATGAGACTTAACAAACTTGGCAATGTGAAATCTTGAGGCTGAAAGATGAATGCATGTGGCATCTGATCTGAATGATTTCACACAGCAGACACCAGTTCAGCCTTCACAGTCAGATGAACTGAGTTGCTTGATAAGTATGAGTGTGTTACCAGGCCACTTCCTGCCTGCACACTTTCAGAGCTGCCACCAGTTTACATGAAAGCTCATATTTCATCTGCTCTGCTTTCTGTGTGGCTTTTGCACATACATTAGTATATTCACATAGCTCAGTCCCAGAATGAATATGAGGGGGAAACTATTTAAATTCTTCTCCCTGGTTCACACAATGGCTGGTAAAGCAGTAGAATATCAGAGCTGGAAAGTGAAACTCAAATCTAAGCAGATGATTCAAGAGCTCATAAACAGCATTTTTAGTGCCACTTGCTCAGCTTTCAAAGATGTAACATCAAGCAGTTTTCAACCAGCATGTCCAAACATGCTACAAAAATGCTGTAATCTACTTTATAAACCCTCTTAGTTTTCTTTAAGATATTGCTACTTGCACCATTCTTGTTGTTAGAATTGATGACAGCCTTTGCTAGATGATATGATTTCTCTGTAATATACAATTGGACCTGGAACTGAGCTGTGGATTTAGTGACAAGTATGAAGGTCTGCAAGTTTTTTTCATTATGGCCTTTGCTCACAGTCTTTAGCATTCCGTCAAAAAACCTTGACTAAGCAGCTTTGCCTATATGTTTTGGAGAAAATGTAATTGCTGCCTGGTTGTAGTTCAGCAATTTTTTTGCTGTCTGGAACGTATGACAGAAGCCATATGGAGGTGATGGAGGGAAGCAAAGCACAAGACACTGTAGACAGGAGTTTATGTCCTGGTACAAGTCAGTGTTGGCCTTCTAATATTTAACTATTTTGTCCTAACCTTAGCCAAGTGCTTTCAGTTAAGTAAATGGACTGCACTAACATAGCTTTTTTACCTTCCTGGACAAAGCACTTTGCAATTTATGCCTCTCAAGCTGCATTGCAAGGTGACCATGAGCAACTTGGGACTCAGTCTCACCCAAGGTCACTTCAACAGAGGATCCTGGGGTCAAACTGACAACCCCATGATTCGTGGATGAACCACTCCACCTCTGGGACCACAGTATCCCCAAAAGTACCATAAAAGAACCATAAAACAAATACTTAGCCTTTGATGCCAAAAGCAAATATATTTGTCAGAAAACAAATGAAACATGGTGTTAGTGATCATTTTACAGAAATGTTCCAAAGATGTTTTAGCAGGACAATGAAAAACATAATCTGTCTGACTGTGTTTCTTCCAATACATATTTTATGTTGCAAAATTGCATGCTGTGTTGTACAACATGAAGCTCAAATGATTATGTGGTGATTCCAACAAAACAAACTTTTTTCATGATCACATTTAAATCTTTGGTATGATCTTAACATATATTGTGCTCTCCTTGACTATTCAATATACTGTATATGAGTTAGATATAATGCCCCTTTATAATGAAGGGTTTATAAGTTGTCACTAATTGCTTCACCAATTATTAATAGAGTATTTCTAGTACTGTCAACCAATTTCCATAGTTAACCCGTGATTCATCTCAAATTAATCTTAAGTAAGTAAGAACAATTACTCGAGTACTGTACTTAAGTACAATTTTGAGGTATCTGTACTTCAGTATTTTCATTTTCTGTTACTTCATACTTTGACTTCACTATGTTTTCAGTGCAAATTTTGTGCTTTTTACTCAACTATATTTATTTTATAAATTATTAGTTACTTTTCAGGGAGGAGGGCTCTTTGCATTAGCAGTGTCCTTGGCCAGCAAATGGTATTAGAGACTCCGGTGGTAACTCAGTTCCCATCGAGAGTAAATACAAATATCTTTGGTCTTGTTGAAAGAACCATCTAGCAGGGTTTTGAAGCTGAACTTGCATTTCAAAAGAGCCTTTTCTTTATCCATTTCTGCTCATTTCTACTGCACCATCATGTCCTGATTTGCCAAACTATGGGGTGTGCTGAGGGTCATAATCACAGAATGCGCATGCGTTAAATGCACATTAAAGAAAATTGTGGCAGTGAAACTTATCATGTTAACTTTGACAGCCCTAGTATTTTCTGCACAAGCCACAAAACTGAATACTTGCTACTCCTTGGCAGCACCTATAAAATATGTCCATGAAAATCATAAAAAGTGACACCTTTGATGCTATACATTTCAAGGGACACCCTTGGTGGACTCCATTACCCAGGGAGTTATCATCCTGAAGGGAGACAACTTTATAATAACTCTTTACATCTAAAATAAATGTGTGTTTTTATACAGAAAAAGTAAATTAGTCCTTTTTATTAACACTGGGTTTAAGATACTGTATAATCGAATTACCTATGTAGAGAATGAAAGTGATGCTAAATTCATTTCCTATAGGTTCAAAATAATGATGAGATTTTCCTGCCCAGGAGTATATTTTGTGTATTGTAGTGGAGAAATAATGTTACTGGCAATACAAGAGAAGAGTAGAGATCATATAAAAAATGCATGCTGGGAAGGTTACCATCCTTGCTCTTCAGCAAGCTGAGGTTGGTCGGTGTATCAGCGCTGGTTTGGACACAGTAGACCTCTCGAGTCTGAATCCCACCTCCACACAACCCTGTCTGGTTTCCACGCCGACGGTCCTGTTGGCTCAGCAGCACATCCACCCTGCATTCTGTCCATTCTGTGGTCTTCCAGCTGTAACTGATACCAGTAGCGGAAACAAGAAGAGTTAGTCTGATACAATATGTCAGATCCCATTTTTTACTTAAAGAAAGAAACTGACACTACTGAAGTGAGCTTGTCAGTTGTATAATTGTTTTTAATCAGTATCTGTATCAGCCTTCAAGAGGTAAGAGGAAGGAGCTCTGTCATTTTGCATTGTTGAGTTGCTGTCATACACACTCTAGGTGTGTTGTTGGTCCAAAAACCACTGGTTGAACAGGTGCATACACTGTGTACAGTTATAACAGTCAGATCAAAGGTCACTGTAAATTGCAAAGTGCTTTGTCCGGGAAGGTAAAAAAAGCTATGTTAGTCCAAGTATTAATTAAATTCACCAACTCGGTGTAAAATTTGACAAATTTAATGCTTTTAAAGTTTTTTATACATTTAAATACTAATGTATATTTTGCTTTATCACCACAAAACAAAGATTTGTTTTATTTTATTGCAATGTGATTCTGGTCTTAATACAACTGCATATTGTAAGATTTGAGTCTTATAAACTCTAGGTACTTTATAAACTTTAGTTACTTCTCATACCTTTAGTTCCCTTTAGTTACTTTTCAGTTCTTCATTGTCTTTTAGTTACTTTTCACACCTTTACTTTCCTTCCTTATAGATGTTAAAACTGTATTGATGATTGTCCAGAACTACTGAGCTTTGGTTACTTTAATACATTTATTTTGCTTGCATATATATCTTCCAATTGTATTGATGAGAGTGTTAGGTATTTTTAGTCAGATAGATATTGGTTAGATACTTGATGTATTAGAAATGTTTAGTGTAGACAGGATGTCTAGCTCAGGCTGTTAAATGCTTAGGCATTCTCATGAGTTGCTGCAGGTTGCTTATGGTCAAGGATAACTAGATAGAAAGTTGATGACTGTTAGAAGACAGGATGTTTAATATTATTATTATGACATGTATAACTGTAGCCATAGCCATAATATTTTCTTATGTTTAATGTCATGGCCTGTCACTAGAGGTCATGTTAGAATGTTTTTAGCTACACACCACATAATCAACAGACAATCACACATTGATTTTCCTCATGTTTTGATTACTGCTCTGGCCAGCTGCAAAGCTGGCACCGGGAGACATCACAGTTTGGCGTCTCTCTCTGTAGAATGGGGTTAGCCCGAAGTGATATAATGTATAGGCCTGTTGTGGTTCAGGGTCTTTCATCTTTCAGCTGCCCGCGTGCATGTTGGAGGTGCAAGATACCTGAGCGCGTAATGTTAATTTTTACCTGTGTTCACTGAATAAATCAGCACTGTTTTGAAGTTACTTGGACTGCTTTGTCTCTCAGAGTTAGCATGGTAAAAAAGTACCGGATACAACAAGAGTCAAGTGATACTGAAGTAGAAATTGTCTACTTTAACTTCTGAGTAGACATAGTGTTTGTATTCATGAGGTCCTGCTTTGTCCTGTAATTGGATTACACAGATAGGGGGTCTACAGCGCAGATGACCCATTGTTCAGTTACCGCCTGGAAAATCATATCACAACACACACACACATGTTTTGATCACATTTCAGCAGGCAGGAGTTAACCTACTCATGCCAAATGACTAACAGGATTACGAAGTGTTGAGTATAGTACCTCCGTCCAGGGCGGAGCAGCCCAAGAAGATAAATGTATTGTTAAAACATAATTCAGGGCTTAGAGAATGGAACTCCTGCGGGAGCTCTGTCCCTCTGATCCCAGCACTGTAAGGCCTACCTGTGATCAGACTTTCAGTAAACTTTCTGCTGATTTTAAGCAGTCCTCTCCTGTCTTCACTTCTTGTGCTTCCAACAAAAGAATTGGCTTAATTTCTAACTATATGAACCTTTCAACAACAATTGAATAATATCATGCTTACATACTGCATCTTTCATATTGAAATTATGCTGACTTTAATTATCATGCCATGTGCTCACAGCAATGCCTTATAAATGACTGTTCATAAAACTCAAGCAGTTTCATCGTGCCAAGGAGGAGGCCAGAAACACACTGACTAAAGAGATTAAAGTGGCAAAGAGGAGCTACAGTGAAAAGATGGGAACCCAGTCTTCAGCCAGTGACCTTGTGTCAGAGTGTCACTGTCTACAGGGATCCATCCCCCATGCTGTGGAGAACATCAATTGGCAGGTGACCTGAATGTGCAGGTTTGATAAGCAGCACTTCACACCTCTCAGCCACTCCACCTCAGACACCCCATCAGCAGCAGAAACCTCACCCCAACCCAGATGATCTGTGAAAAGAATGTGCGTGGACTCTTTCAGAGACTAAAGATCACAAAGGCACCAGGCCCAGATGGCGTGACCCCCTCGTGCCTGAAAGTGTGTGCTGATCAGCTGGCTGAATTTTCCAATTCATTTGAATGTGGCAAGATTTTCAAAATAAAGCTAAATATTTAAAATGTATGAAGTTTAGAAAACTTCGGAATAGTAGTATGAATGCCCTTGAAGAGCTGAACATTTGGATAGCTGAAATAGCTGAAAGTTTGCTGAAGTAGAATTTCCCCATTCATTTGAATGGGGCATGATTTTCAAAATAAAGCTAAATATTTAAAATGTATGAAGTTTAGAAAACTTCGGAATAGTAGTATGAATGCCCTTGAAGAGCTGAACATTTGGATAGCTGAAATAGCTGAAAGTTTGCTGAAGTAGAATTTCCCCATTCATTTGAATGGGGCATGATTTTCAAAATAAAGCTAAATATTTAAAATGTATGAAGTTTAGAAAACTTCGGAATAGTAGTATGAATGCCCTTGAAGAGCTGAACATTTGGATAGCTGAAATAGCTGAAAGTTTGCTGAAGTAGAATTTCCCCATTCATTTGAATGGGGCATGATTTTCAAAATAAAGCTAAATATTTAAAATGTATGAAGTTTAGAAAACTTCGGAATAGTAGTATGAATGCCCTTGAAGAGCTGAACATTTGGATAGCTGAAATAGCTGAAAGTTTGCTGAAGTAGAATTTCCCCATTCATTTGAATGGGGCATGATTTTCAAAATAAAGCTAAATATTTAAAATGTATGAAGTTTAGAAAACTTCGGAATAGTAGTATGAATGCCCTTGAAGAGCTGAACATTTGGATAGCTGAAATAGCTGAAAGTTTGCTGAAGTAGAATTTCCCCATTCATTTGAATGGGGCATGATTTTCAAAATAAAGCTAAATATTTAAAATGTATGAAGTTTAGAAAACTTCGGAATAGTAGTATGAATGCCCTTGAAGAGCTGAACATTTGGATAGCTGAAATAGCTGAAAGTTTGCTGAAGTAGAATTTCCCCATTCATTTGAATGGGGCATGATTTTCAAAATAAAGCTAAATATTTAAAATGTATGAAGTTTAGAAAACTTCGGAATAGTAGTATGAATGCCCTTGAAGAGCTGAACATTTGGATAGCTGAAATAGCTGAAAGTTTGCTGAAGTAGAATTTCCCCATTCATTTGAATGGGGCATGATTTTCAAAATAAAGCTAAATATTTAAAATGTATGAAGTTTAGAAAACTTCGGAATAGTAGTATGAATGTCCTTGAAGAGGTGAACATTTTAGAATAATAGTAATAATAATAATAAAGAAATAAATAATTGGAAAACATAGTATGCTTTACAGCATCCACACAATAAATAAATAAAAGATAAGTAGATTGGTGTATGGATGTTTAGTATATCATATGACTATGTTATTTAAGTTTGAACTTTTAGCAAGAATGACCTTTTCGCAATGCAGGAGGCTTTTTGTAAGCACTAAATAGTGTCCATTCTGGTGACTGTTCATGGATGGGTTTGTGTCTGGTTACTGAATTGGCAGCAGTGTGATTCAGCAGTAATGCATTGCGGGTCCACCCGCAGGTCAGGAAATAAAATCCTGTCTCTATCTACGCTGATAATGGAATTTATTTGCGGTCACCAATAAAAAGCTGCATTTTCATGAGCAAGGTCTCTTTGACATGCTGTCTCTTGCACAGCTGCTATGGGACAGACAACAAGAGCCCTGAGAAAGCATTGCATATTGAGACTTTAGCTTGCCCAGATGGAGACACTCAAGCAGAGCAGTTCTTCAGTGTCACAGAGTGCTGCTCCCTCTCTTCCTGCTGTCTGTCAAGAAAAGTCAGGAGGAGTGGATCGACATTTACTGTTTCACATTATGGCCAATAAAGGGAGCAGATGAATTTTTGCATTAAATGCAAGGGTTATAGACAGAGTAAAACCAGACCTTTCAAATCTGTACCAGTGGTAAGACATCCTCATTCAAAACCATTGCAATATTTATTGACTAATAGTAATATGTGGTATATCTTCACTCAGCTTGATGGGTATGGTAAATGGTTACCTTTTCCTTATCTGTTGCTTTTGTATTTAGAGGCTTTGGCCTTTACCAAACTCTATCTCTCACAAACCCAATGCTGTCGCTAGATAACTGAGACCAGCTTGACAGACCAAAGGGCAATACTCATCCCCATTGATGACAACTGTCAAAATACGAGCACCTATTGTTTTCAGTGCAAGCCCTCATACAGGCAGTGTCTTGCCATGCGTTGTTCTCAGGGGCATGTACTGTATATACTGTAAGCAGTTACATGGCATAGCTCAGTATTTTTGCTCCTGTCTGTATGGCCTGTCCACTGTGTGTGATGTAATGTAGCATGCACGCTATGTATATCTGGGATTTACAGCTACATGCAAGGGCATTGTTTTGCATCTGGACAGTAGAGTCATGTCCCAGCCAATATTCTGGGAGGAGTGAAGTCCTATTAGATCATTCCGATGTGCCATCCCTGAGGCTACATCTTCAAGATGGCATGCTAGCATGTGATTGACTGAAAGGGAGGGGTCCACCTGAAGCTCATATTACATGCAAATTTCATGAAGGAGATGATAGCTGGTGGCCAGTGTGCTGACAAGTTATCAGGGCTGTCAGTGCATACCTCAAGCATGGGCAAAATTTGTGCCTTTCACATGACTTATTCTCCTTCCTTTATTGCCTGCACAACAACATAATTTTGTCCAGGTCACATCTTGCCCTTAGTTGATATGGCACCAAAAAAGAGAAAAGACATCAGCAGTTTGCTTGTTTGTTTTCTACCAATAGTCATGTTGATTTGAAATGAAAACCTGCATGCTACCTAATGTCACCAGGCTTCCCACTGTGGAAAATAATGTCAACTCATGTTAGTTAACCATGTTAGCTAATGTCATCCAGCAAGCTGACTCTGTCATCTGTAATCTAGTCAGGCTGCTAGCAAGAGAAAACATAAAATGGGTGGATATATCAAATTATGAGCTGAATTTCAGTCTAGAAACCCCATGAAAATGTCACAATTAATGAATTATTTTGTTGGTCCTGCATCAGACTAGAGAAGTTCAGCAAATATAACCTTTGAAAGTCAACAAATTTAAGGTTGTTTTGAAAAAAAACATCTTACATAAGAAAAATTTGGTTTGACAAGCACCTGTTCACTCATTTTTAAAACTGCCCTAAAAATAAATAGGATCCAAATAATAAATATAAATCATACTATAGATGGAGATCTTCTATGTAAACAAACTAGTTGGCTTCTCAGCCAATGTTGGAACCAAACCCACACCCTTGGCTACATGGATCTATGGGAGTGACTTTATCAATGTCCCTGAATAGAACATGGGGGGGGGGGTCTATCCAAATTCAACATTCACAGTGTGTAAGTGAATAAAGCCTTATACTGAGGCATGTGTATGCCCTGCAACTATCTTGCAGAAACATTATCCTGTCACTCAAGTAAAGTAGTCAAAATTTTACTTGAAGAGTAAAAATGAAGAGAATAACATCAGTTCTACTTCACAGTTTATGAGTAAACTGTAGTTTGGATCCAAATGAACTTGAATTAAGTATGTATTAAATGTTATTTAATCAAACCTTTTTAAGTGGCACTCCTAGCTGGAAATGTATAAGAAAGAGAAACAATGAGGGAGAAAGAATGTAGTTATGATGAATAAGGGAACAAAACAAACATGTCTATTGTTGCTTAAGTCTATAAAAATCATTAAGGGGGATATTTACTCTGGTTTTACGGCTCTCTTTTTGGCAGTAAACAGTGAAACTGCATGTGTTCATATTTACTAAAGAGTCAGAGTGGGGTTTTGCACCAGAGAGAAAGCAGAAAAGTGTAACTACTAAAATTAGCACGTTTGGTCTCATGCAGTATATATTTTAAGGTGTTCCTGTTCAGGAAGGAGAGAATGGAAATTTATACAAATACCCTCAGCACCTGATTTACCACCACTGCTGTGGAGGGAACTGCAGCCAAAATTGCAGGAGAAAGCAGGTGTAAGCCTCCTACATCTCTTCACAGGGACATGCCCTATAACCCAACAGTCCCCGTTCAACAACCCCACCTGCATCAGCCAACCCCAATCACTCTTTGTCTGGCATTACTAAACCCACAGACCATGACATTAGTAGATTTGCTATAGTCTCAGCTGCACTGTTAACATGCTTTAGTAATGCTTAAAGTATGGGACAGTTTAATTCATTTCAAGTCTCTTACCGGGGATGTTGCTAGACACAAAGCTGTATCAGGGCACAGGCCCCCATGCATGAATGAAATGTGCTCTACATTGCGCTATATGAACTTCCCTTGCTCAGCCCACAGTTCCACTGCCGGCTGCTGCTACTTAAAGTGAAACAGTCCCGTCTTGAAACAATCTGGCTCTGTGTTGCACACTCCTTTGCATTCTTCTGCATTTCACAATAATAAACTAATAACTAATTGTCAAGCAGCCCCTGTTTGATTTGTTAAATTTAAACTTTCACAACAAGTTAATCTATCAACAAATCATTCATTTAAAAACACAAACACACAATCTCAGCATGTTTTGTAACTAATAAGGCCACATAAGTCCAACTACTTTAAAATGGCATTGTGCAGTGGATGGCGGGTCCAACACCAGTCTCCCTAGACACAGCTCCCTCCACACTTTGCCTTCCTGCCACAGAGTCACCTCTTTGTAAATGCACATAAAACAAACATCATTTGGCCTGAGTGACAACAGCATCAAATATTATGCTATAGGCTCTTCATTAAATGAACAGTCCAACGTCAACATAATTACTATGTGTGATGTATTATGCTACATACTTGGCATTCATTTTATTACATGTAGTAAATAATGTTTTAAGAGCAGTCCAGCTGATCATATGTACTGATGTACAGAGCTGTACAGAATTTACTTCACATTCAACGTCCACACCTGGTTATGTACTAGCTAAATAAATAAACACTGGCTTATTTACCAGCTACTGTCAGGTCTCTATGAGCTTCTTTCCTGTCTCGGCCTCCTCTGAAGAATTTTCTTACATCCATCTCCAGGAGTCAATAATGTTTGAGTCAAAATAAGATCATCGATATTATTCAAAAACTTTATTTATTCCCCATCATATACCTCATTCTGTGCCAATACATGGATTGCTGTGTGCATGCTGCAGTGTACTATCTACAACGTGCACAACATGTGTACCCAACCCTGACCACTGCGCCTCAGCTCGTATTGTGTTTTGACATTCTGGATTAGAACAACAAATCGATTATTTTCCCATTATTATCGATCTAAAATAATCCATTGCCAGATATATGAGCTTGTTAATACTCAAACATGTGATTTTACTGGGACACAGCAGATCAGTACTGGGGCACGGGCCCCAGTAAAAGGGGTCTAAACGCACCTGTGTCGCTGACTAAAGTGAGCATGATTGTACTCCGATAAAATACACCACATTGTTATTTGGTGCTCAATAGATTATGAGGTCCAATGCTAAAATGCTAGGCTCTTTGGTAAAGTCATTCTTAGAAATGTAAGAAGACACAACATTAAATAACACCATCAACATTTAATGGATTGGCCATTACCAAAGCCAGCCCCAACTCCAGCTGTTCATTCCTCCCACTAATAATGTGTTCGGCTTCTCTTCCATTTTGCACCTGGCTGCAGCTGCCAAGCCAAGCCAAGCCAAGCCAAGCCAAGCCAAGATAATCCTTTATTGTCATTGTAACACGTACAATGAAATTCTAAAGTGTGCCAACACTGCTGGTCACCAAAATTGCAAGAAGTAGTTGAACACACCCATATCTGCCTTTGCCAGGAGTTTAGACTTGTGTTTACAGCTGCACCCTCTTTCAGGAAAATAGACCACTGTCTCTTGCTCAGGAAAAACTCTCAGGACTGATGGACAACAACATATATTCATTCAGTGATATGCAAATACCTAGGTTTGAAATAAAGACCCCTCATCTCCTGCATAGCAACTTACCCAGAACGCTGCCACTGCCACCTACAGTATGACCCTCCAAATCTTTTAGCAGCCAAGGGCCAGGAGCCTGGAATGTTTGGCCTGCAACCAATTGTGGGCTGCGGGCACCCCTGGGATAAACATCACTTCATCACTTTAATTTTACTGTGCACTCAGATTTTTGAGACTTTAATTAACAAAACATTGAACTGAAGCAGACTAAGCAAACCAAAAAGTGTTTTTATAAGGCTGGTATATATTGTTGTGAAATGTTCTCATAATTAGGCGGCATTAATTGCATGTCTTCACACGCACACACACACACACACGCACACACACACACACACACACACACACACACACACAAGGAACACATCTGTAGTAAGACAGAGGAGAACAATGCACTATTAAATGTTAGTTATATTTTGTAGATTTTATTGTAAAACATTAAATCTGGGCATTAGTATGTGTGTTCATGTAATATGTGTCTAGCTTAGTTTCACTTGAATTCCACTTCCATGTACTTGTTATAACAATATGTTCACTTTGCAGCCCCTGGGTTAGCCCCACTGTAGACCATTTCCTTTTCAGCACTACAAAAGAGTTACACCTGCAAAACTGTACATTCACTCAAGTCAGCTTTTAACAAACTAGTCACATGTATACATGTTGCATTACTGTATTCTTGCCCAGGACTTACACAATACAGGATGGCACTCCATCTTTTTGGGGGCTGCAGGGCTCCTCCTCCTCCAGCTCTGGACAATCACTCCCTCCACCGATGGGGAACTGGCCCACTTTTCTGGCACGAGTGCGTTGCCCCCTAGGCCCGTTGGGATCATAGCACTGCTTGGAGCAAGCTGACCATTCAGACCATTCAGTCACATCACAGTCTTTGGTCAATACGCAGGCCTGGAAGGTCACTGGCAGTGTCTCCTGTGAGCACAGGCTGTATTAGATAAAAGCAAAGACACTATTAGTCAAGATGAAACTTTAACAGAGTATCTGCTGGCTTGACAACTATTATCACAACTTCAGTTTTGCATTTAAAAATTACTCCGCACAGACCAATTTAAGTCATTGTGTTAACTTATTTATTTATGTTAATATATAATGTGACTGATTTTAAGTGTCATATGAGAAGTCCTATCATTTTTACTGTCATGCCTATTTAAGTACTGCAAATGTTAAAAGACAGCCACGTAATACCCATACAAAATGGGTTGTACAGTGTGATAAGCACTGGGGCCAGCAAACCTGCCCTGAGCAGAGCAGCTACAGGTTCCAGTGCATCCACTACTTAACATTCATAATGTGGAAACAGAACATTTTGACATAACAATGTCCATAAAAATCCATACATAGCAGGAGGTAACAGGAGGTAAGGATGGATAAAAGACAAGAAGGCAGTGAGCATTATTTGTTTGCCTGTAAAAATCCCTCCATTCACAGAGTGGATAAAGTGACTGTAATAGAGGAATTACACAGAGGCTGGTGAAATACAGCTGTCCGTCCTCCAGCTTTTCTCTTATGTGATACATGTAGTTTGAAAGGTGTTCATTAAAAACCCAAACAGTTTATCTGTATCTTCAGCAGCAGTTTCACAGCACCATGGCTTTGTTTGATGGTGGGATTGCTGTGAAGTTGAAAGGCACTTGTTATTCTCTGTGTGTTTTGTAGAGGCTGATCAACCATTTGGGAGATAATGACACACTGCTTCTCTTTTCTGCATTCTGTTTCCTTTTATCTCAAAATTTCAGTTTTCCTCAGCTCCCCTGAAATTCTGGAGGCTTTATTTTTTCATCATCACAATTCTCCTGCAGCCACTGAGTCACTAAAAGCTCATATGGTAAAACTAGAGCAGTTGTGTCTAGACACTGATAATGAAGATTTACAGAAACAAAATGCAACCATATGAACTTTAATGTAACTATGACGTCACTTCCAACTGTTACTGTTGTTATATCCATTCTATGTTCACTAGAAATATCAAGCCAAAACAAAGAGAAAGTTGCTCCCTTACAGAAGCCTACTATAGTAGATCCTCCAATAGATCGAAACAAGCATCATACTAATCCTGTTCCTGAAGCATTGAAAACTGTGACAAAGAGACTGGTAATCAGGAAAAACAACAGCACACTCCACCTGACTGCTGATTGATTGTTGGTTTCAGAAAGTTAAAAAAAATTGTCTGCTTGTTTGGGATCATTCTGCAGCGATCTATCTATTCCAAACATGGTGTTGTAATTAAAAATGTCCAAACTAAATGGCAGAATATGTGACTTGTCAAAATACGCCACTGTACTGTGATCATGTGTAAAGAAACAGACATAGACTCTTGCTAGGAAATGACGTGTGACCAGAAGACTCAAAGTCCCACATATTATTGAGGCCTTCATCCGCATCTGCATCAGCCTTGACCCTAGAGGGTTTTTCCAAGTCTGGATTAACAACCAGCAAGAAAAGGGGTCAGTGTGGGAATCCTTGGCTCTGAAAAGCTCCAGGTTCACTGTGTAGCAGTTGGTTTGTTGTAATCTGATTAAATGAAATTTTATTTGAGAATATGAGAAAATACAGTACTTATAAACAATACCATCTGACGTTACTTTTTTATTTTTTTATTTTTCAGCTTGTCCAGCGTTTTCCCGACCATCAGAATCAGTTTGGCATTCCAATGTTAACATGTGCATGGGGATCTTATTCATAGTGTAAAAACAATAAAATCTACAAAAATGTTAAAATATTTCCATTAAATGTGTTTCTTTTAAAATACTGTGTCATTTTAAAGCCTGGACATTTGAGGACAATTAGTAGTTTTAGCCGCCATATAAAATTAGAATTGATGTCGCCAGCTGTAAATAAAGTCGATCCTTGGCTTTGGCTGACATTAATAGGGTCACCACTCTCAACTAAGCCTCTTTGAAGCTTACAGCCATCTGTGCCTTCAGTGAGTGGCTATAGATGGGTATGAATGTGGGTCTCTCTTTGGGTTATATTCCAGAGTGGCTAGTAATCATCTGTGTGTCATGCAAATTTATTATTGTCCTTGAACACCTGAATATGATGAGTGAAATTGGCTTGAAGTTTGAATGATTTAGGAATTCTGACCTTCTAGGCATTAAAAGTGATGGTATCACAAAAACCTTGATTTTGTCAGGATGTAATAAATGTTGCTCAGTAGCCTCTATTAGAGCTGAGCAAGCACAGTAAGACAGAATGAGGCCACTCATCTCTTAACAAAGAATGTGGCTCTCAGACACCACACTGGCCTCACTGCGTAGAGACTGCAGATCGTTGGATGGGACTCGCAGTGGAGCCTTGGTGAATGTGACCAGTGTCTCCCCAGCAGGGAGGAGCTGTGTGTACACTGAGGAAGTGGAATAAGCAACACTCGCTAATTAAAACTGACAGCAATTTTCTTCACAACCTCTGATGTTATTACTGAGGCCTGGTGGCATTACAAAGTATTTATGGATATCATTAAGTCTATGTCAATTTATGAAAATGAAGAAAATTACAGACGCAGTTCATAACAGAAAGTGTAGCCATCATGGAGAATATTGAATGATCTCAGTTAGTTCTAACAAAATATTAGCTTCAAGACAGAAAACAGAGATACAATGGAAGGTGGACAGGGTTTTCAAAACACACAGAGCATGATGAATCCCCACCGTGAAAATATATAAATAAGCTAAACAAACAAGTTCTTTTAAAGACACTAACAGGCAATTACATGTAAACATATCAGTTTTGCAAAGCCTCTCACATTATGTATCCAATACATTTTGCGATAATACTATAAAATTTGTAGAGTTTTAAAGAAGTTTAAAAATTTGACATACAGTTCATTACAATGTTTGTAATGAAGTGTATGTCATTAAAACAAAACAGTGTATGAATGATACACTCACTGACATGTATTTGGGAGATTGTCCCCCTAAAAAAAGAATGTCAGCTTCACTCATTTCAACAAGTGTCCCAGTTCACCTGTGTAAGTTCTAGTGACCATGATAACAAATGTCTCCTAAACTAAATTAAATAATTTTATACCAAAGCACATTATTTCTCCAAACCTAATCAAATAATTTGTGTGCCCAGACCTAACCAAATTTTAAGCACGGTGTTATCACATCATAAAACAGATTCATTTTATTAGAGGAAACAGTTTTATTTTCATTCTGCTTGGCACATTATTAAATATAGAGTGGGGGATTATTAATCACACAAGCAGGAGTCCACAGAAATGAAAGCCATTTATTTTAAGTGTTGGCTTAGTTTCCAGAGTCCTGTGCTTTGGGAGATACAAGTCTGTTCCTCCAGAAGTGGCAGATCCTGGAAGAGAGCTATCCTTAGCCTCCTTCTTTCTCTAACTCTAGACTTACAGTATGTCATAGAATAAAATAGCCCTAACACTCCCTTATCCCTAAAGAGAAAGAAGTACATACCTTACATGTGACACTGTATTAACTGAAATAGTTGTAGACACAGTCAAGGCAGGCAGGACTTAAAATACCTTATCCACGTAACCCTAACCATGACTACATTCTATCTAGCAACACAAACATTCAGATTTACCTTTAACCAATGCCAATTCAATAAAATGGAGCGTCCTAGTGCTAAAATATCTTAAATGTGATATAAACATACTGTAATCCTCATTCTAGAAACAACATTATTAAAGACAAGGCACACATGAGGAAACATATTTCGGAAACATCATTCTTACCTGAGGGCTTCAACATTCCCACTCTTGTGGACACAGGTCACTTCTCTGGTCTGATAACCGACCTGCAGGTCCCAGAACTTTCCTCCCAGGCGGTTCTGATGGTTCCTGTTCCTCTTCTTCTTGAGGAGCTCTCTTGTCTCAGGGTCCTTTGCCTCGCTCCTCTCTCTTAACCTGTCTCGAACCTTCACTCTCATTTTCTCCCTTTTCTCCTTGTTTTTAGTCTTTTTCTGTTGTTTTGGCCTATCTGCCTGTCGGGATGGCCTGTCTGGTTTTCTGTTTGCCTTAATCAATTTTCTGTTGGGTCTGGATGTTTTTTCACCTTTTCTGGATAGTTTCTCACCCTCTTTAGACTGATGGTCTCCTTTGGTGTGCCCTTTCTCACCCTCCCTGATCTGTTTGCCCTCACCTTTTGACTGTTTCTTGTCCTCTCTGGACGGTTTGTCACCCTCTTTGGAATGCTTAGCACTTTCCCGGAATGGCTTGTCATTCTCTCTGGGAGGCTTGTCAGCATGTCTGGCTTGCCTTGGCAGTGGGACAGAGCAAGGCCCCCAGGGTCCCACCCTGAGGCTGTAGAGGCTCTCCTCTCCCTCACAGGGTCCGGGCTGACATGTCTGAAACTCAGTCAGGTTTGGGCAGGCTGCCCCACCAAACAATGGTGGAGCGAGAACAAAGCGGATCCGGTTCTGTAAGCCAGTCCCGCAGGTTTTAGAACATGGAGTCCACGGGCTGAACTCAGACACCACACAGTCCTGAGGACAGGGGATTAGACAGGCCTGCTCTAGTCGTGGTTTAGGCTCAAAGTATTCACAGATTGCATCATCTGTGAGCTGGCTATTTGCTTTCTGGACACAGCCCACCTCACGGGTCTGGATGCCCTCCTCTCCCCGGGTGCACACATTAGGGCGCTGCACCCCAGCACTGCGCACTGACACAGGGACACACTGGTTCCAGGCACCCAGCTGCCAGTCGTACAGATCCTTGTGCCAGTCACACACTCTAAAGCAACTCTGCTGGTTGTCTGGCCGTTCTGTCTGTTTGCAATTGGTGTGCAGGGTGGTCCAGCCTTCAGAATGGGCACACCAAACCGCCCTGCTCTGGCTGCCTCCAGGACCACACTCACTGCCCATGCAACGGCCCCATGGACCTGTAAAGAGTAAGAAAACAGACATGTCAGGGAAAGGTTAACATGAGACTGGGAAGAATAGAAGCATGATTTTGGTAGAGAAAATTCACAAAGTACTGCTCGTCCCCTTCTTTTGAAAGATTTAAGTCCAGTAAGTGACAACCTTTGTCTTACCATTGTACTGGTTCTAATAGCACTGTGCTCATGAAGATGACAACTATGATTTGAGAACACAGCAACATTACAAAAACAAATTTAAAGGTGCATAAACTTATGAGCAGTTAGGCAATCTGACAGGTTGAAAACAAATCCTGTTGTTAGCCAGACTTGTTTGGAAGAAAAGACAAAGTAAAATTATGATCCACACTCCATTGTAAACATCCATCACATACATTACACTGACTTCATGGACGTTTGAGTGGGTTAAATAGTGTGAAAATGGATGAGGCATAGTTTGGGTCAGGTCCTGCTCCCGAACTTTAGATAATTACATTATCTCCATTTCACTAGCAGGGACCTGTACTTCCTGAGGAGGCTGAGGAGGTTTGACATGTCGCCTAGGATCCTTTGCAACTTCTACAGCTGCATCATTGAGAGCATCTTGACCAGCTGCATCACTGTCTGGTATGGCAGCACTACTCCTATGGACCGCAAGCACCTGCAGAGAGTGGTAAAGACTGTGTAGAAGATCACCAGGTCTCTACTGCCCTCTCTGCAGAGCATTTACCACCACAGGGTGCGTAGGAAAGCTGCCTCCATCCTCAAAGATCCCACCTACCCCCAGCATGGACGGTTCATACTCCTACCCTCTGGCCAGAGATTCAGAAGTGTGAAATGCAGGACCTCCAGACTAAAAAACTCTTTCCTTCCCTCTGCCATCAGACTCCTAAACAGCTGAGGAGTTTATTACCAGGAAATATGTCATGTACTGTCGACCTGTACTGTTTACATTCTCAGTTTGCACATGCATAATTGCACAATGACTGTTGACTGCTGCACAGGCTGCTCCCATGCAGCATACATTCTCTGTTATATTCTTATATATTTTTTATTATATTGCTGCCTTTGCTGCCTAAAGTGCCTTAGATTTTGTGTTACTTATTTATCTACTTTATATTTCATTTGTATTTTGTGGCATTCATGTGGACGGCAAAGTAAGAATTTCATTGTACAGGGAAACACGTTTCCTAACTGTGCATATAACAAATAAACACTTTGACCTTTGACTTTGACCTGCCCTCACTAAGTAGATATGGAGGTATAAGCATGGGGAATGCTTGGAACCTGATGGTTTTGGGGAAGGCTAAGGATGTCTGCGCTGCTTTTGGGCACTGGCAGAGCCCAAAACCTTCTGGGAAATGGAGCAGACTCGGTGAAGAACATTGGCTGGAACAGAGAAGTAGATTTGTTATGGAGTGAAGTCAGCCAGGAGGACCAAGGAGGGAGTAGGACGAGCTGAACTCGCATGTCTCTCTGCGTCATGTGCTAGCTAGGGAAGCCAGTGAGGGTGTTCACTAGGTCTGGAGGGACTGTTGAATTAGAAGGCTGCCGCTCGGAGAAAGAAAGTGAGAAGACAAATAATATCTGGGTACCAGGAAAGGAGGAAAAGTCAGCAGGCAACCCAGTGCCTGGTGAAAAGAGAAGGACCGGCAAGTGGCCAGCAGCAGGAGATTCATATGGAAGAGATTGGAGGAGGCCTCATGGAATTGAAGGAATGCAGAAGGAAGTAGTGGGAAGCTGGAACTGACAGCAAGAGAGCTGTAGGGAAGAGACTAAAAAGTCCTGTGTAACTGAAGAACGAGAGAAGCTGTCAAGGCAGCCACATGCAGCCAAGGACACAGCGGCCTGTGGTGTGGCAAATGTGGAAGGCGCCGCAGATAGTGGAGGGGGCCTGGGGGTGGAGAAAAAGGTTCCAGTGACAAAGCAGTAAACAACCCACGGTGGCGAGTTGGGGGTGCAAACAGTCAAACAAAACAAGGTGAGCAGCTGCACGTGATTCACCTAACAAAAAGCGGAAGCAGAAGTAGGGAGGTTTAGGTGAGACAAATAGTGTGACAATGGAAGAGTGTAGTACAGGTCAAGTCCTGCTCCCAAACTCTAGATAATTACATTATCTCCATTTATTCTTCAGTAATTACTGTTGAGCTTTTGAGCAGAGCAGCTATTCTGGTTGAACCTGTCATTGGCCAAGTAGTAAATGCACAGCTCCCACTGAAAAAGTAATTGTGTGAATGAAAGAAAACACTAAACTGGATAATTTTAAAAGGTTAATTTTTTGCTTTCCCTATAAAAGGTTGGTGAGAGCTGCTAAACATACAATACGCAATGTGTCTTCAAAATTCTGATATTTCATGTTCATCTTTCAAAAATAATTCCACTGGTAATTTAGGCATTACCAGCTGATGGCAAAAGCCCATCCATCCATTTTCTAAACCGCTTAGTCCCAAACAAACCCACGCAAGCACAGGGAGAACATGCAAACTCCGCAAAGAGAGGGACCGGGTTGGCCAGGGCTCAAACCCAGAACATTCTCACTGTGAAGCAACAGTGCTAACCACTGCGCCACTGTGCTGCCCTGGCAAAAAGCCCATAAAATCAAAATGTATTTATTGCATAATATTATTTTTTGGTGCAAAGTGCTTCCAAAGACAACTTGAGTGCCTGTCCACAATTGAGTATCTGAAACCTAAGTGCTTCCGAGTGCAGTAACAATGTTCTGACAAACACACACAATGTTAAATCACTCTCTTTCAATATTGAGATTGCACTTTGACTGGATTTATGAGAATGTAATTATAGGTCTAAGTAAACACTGACTTTCAGGACAAACCCCTGGTAGGAGCTCAGCACATGCAGAACCGGAATAGCTGAAGACTCAATCAATACAGCAGCAACATAAAAAAAATAGCTGATGTGAGGAATGGTGGTGTTTTGGATATCATTAGCTCTGCACGGTGTTGCAATGCTGAAAACCTACATAGGTCCAGAAAAGGATTGTTCAGCTTTTTTAAAGCCCCTCATGAAGCCAGTCCTATTTTCTCATATTATCTACAGTTAAATTAAAACTAGTGTTGTTTAATTTAAACTTGTGGCTATAAAGATCTAATATGACCTATCAAACGAAAATGTATTCCAGTATTTACAAGTAAGTCATTAAGATATCATCTATCTCTAAATAAACTTAAATAGTATTCTGTTCAGCGAATCAGCTCAAAGTAGTGACTCAACCAAACCATCAACCACTGTTAGAGTTGGTTTAAAGCACAGTTCCATCAAAATCATAGTTGCATTACACCCCTGACACTGCCAGCCACTTCACTCCCTCTGGATAGCAGTGACTGAGAAACGTTCTGCTATCTTGAGCAGCAGAATCCTCCACCTCCATCAGTTGGCTCAGTTTGCTCTGTGAGATTGCACAAGCCACTAAAGCACTATCAGTGCTTTATGGTTTCACTCACTAAAGCTGAAAAACAGCAATGAAAATGTCAACGGAAGAACCAGCAGGCTGATTAGACTACAGCTGCAGGCAGAGGGTCTGGATCAATACAAATCAATAGCAGTAGCAAGAAACTGCCCCAGACACAGGAGACAGCTGCAGTCGCAGATACGCATCACTCACTGGCTGTTATCACCATCTTTGGCTGCAAATAAAGAAATGCAACAAAGCAAGAACTGGATTTCTGAGGTACATTGCTCATTTAATGTAACAGTTAATTGAAATATGCAATGTTCCAACAATAAAAGTTCAATGGCAAATTGATTCTGCAGTTTAAGGCTGTGCTGCAAGGCTAAGTAGCTATCTGGACTGGAATTTCCATCCATGTCCAGCTCTAAAAAGGTCATCATGTTTATAGCCATAAAGTATTAGCTCCCTCACAGGCAGTATTGTCTCAGCTCTGTGCAGGTGTTCACCTTAATTTATGAACATGACACTGAATTAAACTTGTCTCTGGGCCAGTGGTGAGCATAGAAACTAAAGGTTAGTTGTTCTCACGCCGGCTACATCGCCCACTGAGAGGAGCCAGGAGGCATGGAGGGCACTTTGCTAACAAACTCAGGAAGGGATGTCACACGTCTAATCACACCCTGCCTCCACCGTCCTACGACAATCACCCAGCAGTGATGCAACTGTTACACCAAAGAAAGGCAATGAAATGATGAGGAGCTGGGTTTCTATTGTAAATAAAGGATCACTTTGAATCCAAATGTCAAAATTTACACTTTTAATACAATGCTTTTACAATCACAAAACATCACAGACAGTCATAAATAAGACAACTTAAGTTGTCAGATGGCATGATTATCTTTATGGGAGTTTCCAGTTCTTCTTTGGTAAGCTAAACACCTACATACAACATCTGTGTGCAAGTAACTCTTTATAAGATAGCAAGCAAGTCAGCCCTCAAATTGTCTATGTAATTAAAAAAAGTAATGAAGAGGCACTGGGTCTTGTAACTGCTCTAAATACTGGATTTCAATTTATAATCCCTGACTCGTTACTGAAAGAAGTATTCAAATAATGAAAGAATTATTCAAAAAGTAATGGAGAGGCAGTGGGTCTTGTAACTGCTCTAAATACTGGATTTCAATTTCTAATCCTTGACTCGTTACTGAAAGAAGTATTCAAATAATGTTAACATATTACTAAGTAATGTGTTACTTTCTGTGTGGGCGTATTATTTCATTTGAAATTCTCAGTTTGTGGGAGAAATCCATCCATGTCCATCTTTTTGTTCGAATTCAGAGATGTCTGAATATTCTGACAGCTACAATATTTCCCGCTTCACATGGCAAAAAGAACTAGAGAAGACAGCGTTGTGACTTCCAACTAGCTTTCCATTTCAGCGGGGCACGTATGCAGTCAAAGACAACAGCTGCTTACCAACAAGATTTTTTTGTAGATATTTTTTAAATCAATGGGTCCATGATTTTAACGGTGGACAAAAGCAGGTACTCATTTCTTGCTGCTGACTATCAGTTTTGCTGGCTGAAATGACAGCTATCACTAGCAGATTTTATCA